CCCTGGTCACCACTGAGCCACCCCTGGCCTGGCTGGACCTTGCTCGTGGTCACCAGCGAGCTGTCCCCTGGCCTGGCTGACCCTCACATCCCGGTCACTGGCAAGCCACGCCCAAGCCCAGCTGGCCCTCACCCCGTGGTCACTACCAAGCTGTCCCCTGGCCCAGCTGGCCCTCACACCCCTGTCACCTCTGAGCCACCAACTGGCCTGGCTGGACCTCACCCTCTGGTCACTGTTGAGCCACGCCCCAGCCCGGCCAGCCCTTACCCCGTGGTCACTACTGAGCCACCCCCCATCCTGGCCAGTTCTTGTCCCCTGGTCACCACCAAGTTGTCCCCTGGCCTGGCCAGACCTTGCCCCCTGGTCACCACCAAGCTGTCCCCTGGCCAGACTGGACCTCACCCTCTGGTCATCACTGAGTTAGCCCCGAGCCTGGGCAGTCCTTGTGCCCTGGTCACCACCAAGTTGTCCCTTGGCCTGGCTGGATCTCACCCTCTGGTCACTGTTGAGCCACGCCCCAGCCTGGCCAGCCCTCACCCCATCGTCACCAGCGAGCTGTCCCCTGGCCTGGCCGGACCTTGCCCCCTGGTCATCACTGAGCCACGCCCCAGCCCGTCCCCCTCCCACCCTGATCACCACCAAGCTGCCTCCTGATCCAGCTGACCCTCACATCCTGGTCACCAGCAAGCCACGCCCTGGTCACTGGCAAGCCACACCCAAGCCGGGCCAGCCTTCATCCAGTGGTCATCACCGAGCTGCTCCCCAGCCCTGCTGACCCTCACACCGTGGTCACCACCGAGCCACGCCACAGCCTGACCAGCCCTCACCCTGCGGTCACCACCGAGCTGTCCCCAGCCCTGCTGACCCTCACCCAGTGGTCACCACCGAGCTGTCCCCAGCCCTGCCGGCCCTCACGCCCACCTGGAAGCCGTCGCTCATGGTCTCGCCGAACCAGATGTGTTTCTTCTCCTTGGGGTTCTTGCTGAGGTACCAGTTCTTGCGGGCGATGGACGCCTGGGTCGGGTACACGCACGTCTCGCCCGTCTCCAGGTTGCAGAAGACCTTGATGGCGTCCAGGTTGCAGCCTTGGTTGGGGTCGATCCAGTACTCRCCTGAGGGGACAGGGACAGGGTCAGGGGACAGGGATGGGGTCAGGGGACAAGGAAAGGAGGGGAGGGATGACCAGGAGGGACCAGGSGAGGAATGGACCTGAGGGGTGAAGGGTGAAGGTGAGGAGCAGCCTCACGGGATGGAGAACGGAGCTGAGGAACAGCCAGAGAGAGGGAGAATGGAGCTGAGGAGCAGAGGATGAAGAGATGGAAGAGAGGAGCAGCCAAGAGAAAAGACCTGAAAGGGATGAGGGATCAGGATGAGGGACAGCCCCAGGAATGGAGAATGGAGCTGAGGAGCAGCCAGGAGGGAATGGGAGAAAGAGCTGGGAGGGATGAGGGATCAGGGTGAGGAACAGCCAGAGGGATGGAGCAGGTGAGGAACAGCCAGGAGAAAAGAGCTGAGAGGGATGAAGGATCATGGTAAGGAACAGCCTCAGGGGATGGAGAACAGAGCTGAGGAGCAGAGGATGAAGAGATGGAAGAGAGGAGCAACCAGGAGAAAAGAGCTGGGAGGGATGAGGGATCACGGTGAGGAACAGCCAGAGGGATGGAGCAGGTGAGGAGCAGCCAGAAAGGAAGAGCTGGGAGGGATGAAGGATCACGGTGAGGAACAGCCCCAGAGGATGGATGAATAGGAGCTGAGAGATGAAGGATGTGAGGGAGGATGAGGGAGGAAGGAGGAAGGTGGGGAGATGAGGARGGAGGTGAGGAGGGGGCGGAGCGGGGAGAGGCCACAGGAAAAGGGAGAGAAGGAGGGGACCAAACGGGAGAGGGAGGGATGGAGGACGGAGGGGAGAGCAGACAGGAGAGA